TTTCTGTCTTTGTCTCTCCAGGGACCACACATGCCCTATAGCAAAAATCTCTTTAAAAAAAAAAAAGAAGATATTTGTAAAAATGAGAAGAAAAACTTCTAGAAATAGTCTGATCATGAAAGATTCCATATGGTCATATGGTCACAGCATTTTTGTCTTACTCACCCTCAGTTGTCCTTGTAGTGCCCGGACGACAATGATTATGTGGAATTTTGCAATCTGTATATTTTTTTTCTTTTTCTTTTTTTTTGGTTGAGGTTTTTTTTTTGTTTGTTTGTTTGTTTTTTTTTTGATATAGGGCGCGTGTGCTCGCCAGACAGACAGAAAGAGACAAGAGAGATAGAAAGCGAGGGACCAGCGGTTAGCATAATGGCTATGTCTCTGGACTCCCATGTAGTCAACCGCAGTTCGCGTCCTGGACCTGGTAGCTTAAAACTCACACCGGGCGCGTGTGCGTAGGACGCGAACTGCAGTCGACTACATGGGAGTCCAGCGACATAGCCATTACGCTAACTGCTGGTCCCTAGTCGTATGATATTAAAACAAGCGGTCTCTTCTTCCTTTGGACAGATGCAGCAGCTGTTTTATGAGAATTACGAGCAGAACAAAAGGGATACATCCGAGATCTCCACAACAGTAAAATCCACCGCGCCATCACCTTGCACCCCAACAAGAACCCGCCCTACCAGTACCGACTGCACAGCTACATGCTGAGCCGCAAAATCGCCGAGCTGCGCCACCGCACCATCCAGCTGCACCGGGAGCTCGTCCTGATGGGCAGGTACACCAACAGCGAGATCCAGAAGGAGGACCTGCAGCTGGGCATCGCGCCGTCTTTCATGAGGTTCCAGGCCCGCCAGCGCGAGGAGGTCCTGGAGTGGGAGTTCCTGACCGGGAAGTACCTGTACTCGGCGGCCGACGGCCAGCCGCCCCGGCGGAGCATGGACTCGGCGCAGAGGGAGGCCCTGGACGACATCGTCATGCAGGTCATGGAGATGATCAACGCCAACGCCAAGACCAGAGGGCGCGTCATCGACTTCAAGGAGATCCAGTACGGCTACCGCCGCGTGAACCCCATGTTCGGGGCCGAGTACATCCTGGACCTGCTGCTCCTGTACAAGAAGCACAAGGGGAAGAAGATGACGGTGCCCGTGAGGAGGCACGCCTACCTGCAGCAGACCTTCAGCAAGATCCAGTTCCTGGAGCACGAGGAGCTGGACGCCAAGGAGCTGGCCAACAAGATCAACCGGGAATCCGGATCCCTGTCCTTCCTCTCCAACTCCCTGAAGAAGCTGGTGCCCTTTCAGCTCCCTGGGTCCAAGAGTGAGCACAAAGAACCCAAAGAGAAGAAGATCAACATCCTGATCCCCCTGTCCGGGCGTTTCGACATGTTCGTGAGGTTCATGGGGCACTTCGAGAAGACCTGCCTCATCCCGAATCAGAACGTCCGATTGGTCGTCCTGCTCTTCAATTCCGACTCCAATCCCGACAAGGCCAGGCAGGTGGAGCTGATGAGGGATTACCGCGTCAAATACCCGAAAGCCGACATGCAGATCCTGCCCGTGTCCGGGGAGTTTTCCAGAGCGCTCGCCCTCGAAGTGGGATCTTCCCAGTTCAGTAACGAATCCCTGCTCTTCTTCTGCGACGTCGACCTCGTGTTTACTCCGGAATTCCTACAGCGATGTCGAGCCAATACGGTCCTGGGCCAACAAATCTATTTCCCAATCATCTTCAGCCAGTACGATCCAAAGATTGTGTACAGCGGGAAAGTTCCCAGCGACAACCATTTTGCCTTTACTCAGAAAACCGGCTTCTGGAGGAACTATGGGTTTGGCATCACTTGTATCTACAAGGGTGACCTCGTCCGAGTGGGTGGCTTCGACGTTTCCATCCAAGGCTGGGGATTGGAGGACGTGGACCTGTTCAACAAGGTTGTCCAGGCGGGTTTGAAGCCTTTCCGGAGCCAAGAGGTGGGCGTGGTCCACGTCCACCACCCTGTCTTCTGCGATCCCAATCTCGACCCCAAACAGTACAAGATGTGCTTGGGGTCCAAAGCGTCGACGTATGGATCCACCCAGCAGCTGGCCGAAATGTGGCTAGAGAAGAACGATCCGGCTTACCGTAAAAGCAGCAATAACGGCTCAGTGAGGACGGCCTAATGTCCAGCTCTGCTGGGCAAAGATGTTTTTAATGATCTAATTTATTTTTCAAGAATTTTTTGTATGCTCTGTTTTTTCAAGTCCCTACGAGGATCTATTTTACAAGTGGTTTTCTTACTTAGGACTCCTTTAAGACTGCGGTTTTTGGAACATCAACCACCACAACAAAAAATGTGATGATCAGTGTTTGCCTTTGAACATACCTTGCTGGACAACAATGTAGCAGAATTGCTTCATTTTGACTTGAAATGTACCTGATGAATATACTTTCTTTCTTTCTTTCTTTTTTTGTTTTGTTTTTATGACCTTTCCTTTTCAGACTCCTTTTGCTACAGCCCTAGGCAGAAATCGAAGTTCCCCCCCTCCCGCAAAGCATTATTGTAACAAAACACTGTAACTCTGGTAAACCTTCTGTTGTGACTGTTATACTTGCACACAGTCTACCTTTTGTCTTTTATACAAGTTCGTTTTGTTTTGTATTTTTTTTCTTTTGTTTTAAGGAAAGCCATTTTGTGTTCCAGTTGTAAAAATAGGAGATTGTGGTCATAGGTATTTCATCTTCAGGAGGACTTCCCAAAGTTGATTATTTCCCCCCAAAATGTATTCCACTCACCGTGGTCATGCAGGATCTGAAGATCAAGGGCAGTGAGGAAAACCCCGTACAATGTTTGGCTGTTTTTATGATTCTTTTTTTTTTGGAGAGGTTTTTGCTATAGGGCGTGTGCACTCACCAGAAAGACAGAGAGAGACAGAGAGATAGAAAGCAGGAAATCACCCCCCCCCGGGGGGATGGCCACGCTGCAATCCCTTCTCCTCCATTCTCCTCTCGGGATCTTGGGCACACACGCTCACGTGCCTGGTGTGAGTTTAAGCCACCGGGTCCGGGACTTGAACCGGGGTCGCCTACATGGGAGTCCAGTGACATAGCCATTACGCCACCTGCTGGTCCCTTGATGATTCCTTTGACCGAAACGGACTTGGTATTAAGATTCCAGAAGGATATGGTATTTTCTCTCTTCCTCATCCTTCTCCATAAAGGGTAAATATTAATATTTAGAATGACAGAAGAATTATTGTAATCAGTCTAAAAGATTTAAAAAAAAAAAAACAGCAAACAAAAAACTCCACCCTAATGAAAACATCGGGGAAATCACACATTGGCTTTTGTTCACGTCATCCTGTCTGCGTTAATGTTGGTGGAGATGGTTTTTCATTCTTTCAATTCTTGTCTGTTTCATCCTTTGTATCTGAAGTACCTCTAATTTATTTAATATCCAGTTTATTTAGAGTTCTTACCTTCCCCCCCTCCCCCCAGTCCCTGTTAGTTCTTAGTATTTATATGTATCGGAGTGTGTTTAATGTTTCCTTGGCAGTAAACCGATCTCCAAAGATTATCCTTTTGAAAATGCTTCTTTTCCCTCCTTCATTTTTACATTCCTTCCTGTTTTGGACTAAATATTAAGTGTTCTTTGACAATTTTGGTGCTCACGGATTTGGGGGGGGGAGGGACAAAAGTGAAATGAAATCCGTCATTTGTTCCAGAAAAGTTTGTTTTCAACTCACAGATCAAATGTGCCTTAATCGAATTTTTTTTTTTTCATATAGATTTCACACCATGGTAGACTTGCCATTTTCATAGACACCCTCAGAGATCTGCTTGTTTGTAAATAGTCTCTTGCTCATTTGGGAAAAAATAAACCAGTGAACAGTATTTTTCTATTGTATTTTTCAGGACCGTTTTGTCTCATTCTTCCTGTTTTTAGCTGAAGCCTTGTATTACATTTGGAGAGTAAAAACATAAAACGCGAATTTCTCAAGGTTTTCCAAGTTCTTTGGGGGAGACGGTTCTGTGGACGGGAATTTGGGGGGGAGTGAAGCAGGACGAACTTTCCGGCGCCTCTTTTTTTTTTCCCAGCTTTTGTCTTAGAATGTGCCTGTCCTTGGGAACCAGCAGTTAGCGTCATGGCTATGTCGCTGGACTCCCACATAGTCGACCGCGGTTCGCGTCCCGGACCCGGTGGCTTAAAACCCACGCTGGGTGTGTGTGCGTGCGTGCCCAAGATCCCGAGAGGAGAATGGAGGAGAAGGGATTGCAGCGTGGCCATCCCCCCGGGGGTGATTTCTCGCTTTCTGTCTCTCTGTCTTTCTCTGTCTGGCGAGTGCACGCGCCCTATAGCAAAAACCTCTCAAAAAAAAAAAAAAAGGAATGTGTCTGCCCTCTGTCGGGTCCTCATCAGCTTGCTGACTGTGTCGTCTCACACCGAGGTCTCCAACTGGGGCCCGGCCCCATCTGGCGCCTCAATAAAAATGGACCTTCTGGGGCCCCCTAGAACCTGCGTTTGGCCACGACGCAGTCCGTGTGCACACGCGTCCGTGGGGTTTCAGGGTCAGCCTAGCTAGAGGATAAGGCTCACACAGTCGCCGTGGAATCTACAAATTGAAAAAAGCTTACTGTTTGGGGCCGAGGTAGCAAACTTTTGCAGACCAGAACTGCACTGCCAGGTCTGTGTTTTCAGCGTCATGAGCGGCCCCAGCATGATGGCATCGTGCCCCCAGAAGGGCCTGCTAGAATTCAGCCTGATGACTGAGTACTCTGGGGACTGCGTCGTTTTTCCTTGGGCAAAAGCAGAGACATCCTTATTCTTCTGTAAGGAAGAGCATAAAATGCATCTGCGTGCCAAAGTCATTTCCCCCTCAGGTTTTTGCTATAAGGGCACCTGTCTGCTCTGGAGAGAGGAGAGAGAAAGGGGGCAAGTGAGAAATCACCCCCTAGGGAGGTTGGCCATGCCACAATCCTGTCTCCATCTCTCTTGGCATTTTGGGCATGCGTGCACCCATGCACAGGTGCCCAGTGAGCTGCTTCTCCCCCTTTAGATGTTTGTTATAAGGTGTGGCCACATGCCAGAGAGACAGAGACAGAAAGTGAGAAGTCACTCCCAGGGGGGATGGCCACACCGCAATCCCCTCTCCTCCATTCTCCTCTTGGGATTTGGGGCACACACACACACATCCAGTGTGAGTTTCAAGCCTCTGAGTCTGGGATTCGAACCGCGGTCAGCTATGTGGGATCCAGTGCCTTAACCATGACACCACTTGCTGGCCTGATCGGGTGACATGGCTGTAGAGTCTGGGACAGAGTGCCACGTGGCTGGCCATGCCGTGGCCTTCCCTCCTCCTCCTCCTCCCACGCATGCTCAGGCCTGCCCTCCACATGTCAGTGATGGTATGACACCCCCTCCCTCCGAGGTCCAGGCTCCAGAAATGCCACCAGACGCTTTCCCGGATTTGCCGCGCCCGACACTGCCACGTGGGACTCCTTCGCGGGCCTCCAGTCTCCGCTGTCTACCTGGTCATTCCTCAGTCACGCCAGTGCCCTGCTCTGCCTGGAAGGTGGTCTTAGCGCACTGGCACCCAGGCCCTCCCACCCACGCCTGCATGTCCGTCATCCCCTCCTCCAGGGGCACCCCCTGAGCTGTGCAGCTCCGAGTTGGGGGCCTCTCTCTGCTGCTGGCGCTCACGGTCTTACTGTCTGAAACACCTCCACTTCCGCCCTGATGTGGCCTGGCACCCTTCCTGTGTGGGCGTGACATGGCCGGACTCGGTTCTGTGACTGTGTGGTGGTATCTCCCTCCCCAGAGTCCCTAGAAGGTGGGCTCCTTCCCCCAGCAGTGCCCTGCCTGTTGGGAACCAGAGTCCCCTCTCCTCCTGTGCACCCTCCTGCACCCCAGCCCTGCTACGACGGGGCACGCCCAGACCCCCCAGTTCTTGGCCTGGAAATAGTCCCTTTTCCCTTTAAACCCTGAAAGCTTGCTACTTTCTGTGATTTTTTTTATATACATCCAACTTTGTCTTAGCATGCATTTAAAACATTTTTAAAAAAAAGAATTATTTTACTTTATTTTTAAAATTTGACCAAAGAGGTACAGAGTGAGAGGGAAGGAGAAAGTGAGAAAGCAAGCCTCCAGGCCTGGGACTTGAACTGTGGTTAGCTATGTGGGAGTCCAACACCTTCAACTGCCACGTCACCTGCCAGCCAATACATAGTTTTTTAAGAATTGTTTTATTGGGACCGGCAGGGGACATTTTGGGTAAAAGGGGCGGGTTC